AAATTTGAATGAGTCATCTGCATATCAAATTAGTTTGTATTATTAAGAAACCCAGAAGACATACACACTTAGTTGGTGTTTAGTTCAGGATTCTTCAGAGTATGAAAGAGGATCAGCCATTGAATAGTGAATTTACTTAGATGTAACTTACCCTGTATCGGGCTATGAGCCATGTTTGTTGTGTGTGTGTCTGCGCAGGATGGAAGAGGTGTATCTACTACCCGGTACGTTACTTACTCAGGCAAAAGTAGGTAGTGACAGGGAATGGAACCCGGGACCCATTGGTTGAAGCCAATGAGCCACACATCCAGCTTACTGACACTCTAAGTGAGCGGGGTTTTGGAAACTACTAAGGCGTACCCGAAAAATTCATCAACCTTATTCAACAGCTGTACGACAACGGCACATGTAAAGTGGTCCACAACGGAAAACTCAGCGAGGCGTTTAAAGTAAACACAGGAGTCAGACAAGGGTGCTTATTATCACCCACGATGATATTCCTAATTGTGGTGGACTGACTGGATTATGCGTCAGACAGTGAGTGGGAAATGAGAAGACAGGGATATCCTGGACCGACCAACGTGAAGAACCCAGAAGACCTGGATTTCGCGCGTGAATGATTTAGGTTTGATGTCACACAAAATTGAAGACCTTCAAGCGAAAACTGACAAACTGGTCGAAGAAGCAACCGGAGAAGACAGGACTCCAGGTGAACGTAGACAAGACGGAGGCTATGAAAATAACCAACCAACTAAGAACAACAACAACAGCAGGAACATCCAGCGCTAATCACCATCAACGGGAGGCATTTGAAAGAGGTTACTTTATTCACTTCACTTATCTATCATTGAGCATTGTCTCAACTACAGGATGTCGGAACGGCCGAGGATGTCAAATCGAGCGAGAATCGGGAAGGCGAGAAACACATCAACATCATCAACCTGAAACCAATCTGGACAACCAATCTTCGTCACTCAGCATCAACAACAAAATTCAGTCGGAGTTTCAATACAAACGTCAAGTCATTCAGTTCTTCTATACTTATCGGATCAGAAACTTGGCGGGCGGGTCACAAAGAATATTTCCAACAGCCTGTTGCAGACCAGAGCTTTATCAACAACTAACTGTCTTCGCTGGATCTATACTGAAGATGAGGTGGCCGGCCGGGCCGGAAAGAATCACCAACAAGCACCAAACTATGGGAACAAACAAACAAAACAAGAACCAATCGCCAACCAACAAATATGCAGGAGAAAGTGGAGATGGATTGGACACTCACTCACTGAGGAGGCTGCTGGGTGACATCGCGTGGGCGTCAGCCCATTTCTCGAGTGGAACCAGGCCGAAAGGGAAGCACGCGGCGAGTGGGACGTCAGTTCAAGGGTGACATGGAGGAGATGGTGTGAAGAGGAGGAGGAGTTGAAAGAGTATGGACTAACATGGATGCAGGTGAAAAGTACAGGAGAAAACAGAAGTGGCAAGTAAAGACGTGGAGTTGAAGCCCTATGTTCCACTAGGAACCCAAGGGAACAATAATAATAATAAAGTGGGCGGGGTGAAAGTAACGTGCTTACAATACGTCCTGACAACTTCTGAATGATCTCAAGTTAAAATGAATTGTCAATTTTATTCTTCTATTTTTTTAAATTATCTCAAGATTGATCGTGAACTCTCATCAGATAGGGGACCACTGAAAACCAGCAAGGAGTACTCCACAGCAGTTTTGTCCTTGTTTTTGTGGCTCTTCATCAGCACGTACCAGGATAGAGACCAGGACCATTCAAACACTGCGACAGAAACTAGTAGTCCATCAATTCTATCTTTTATCGATTCGTGATATATGTAGCGCGATCATTAGCCGATGTCATTGGAGGGCATCTTCCATCATATATAACCTGGTGAACCTCCCGATTAGTCACGAATTCTCACTAGATCCTCAGGCTGCTTCATCTTGTAGTCATTCTGTCAGTCACTCACTAGGGAGCATCAGATTAATCTTCAAGTATTAGTTTGCAGAGGAGGAGGGTGTCTATGTCTGCCATCATGACGATTATTTATTCCTATACTAGGGGGTGGGGGTTAGAGAGCTTTGCAAACATGGTATATATATATATATATATATATATATATCGGCTGGAGATATAGAATTTAAGTTTTAAGGTTAATTATACTACTCAAAATGAGTAGTTGTTAGTAGTCACCGGTATACCAGATGTCAGATGAAAACACAACGATGAAACACAACATAAATGACAACAATAACGATGGTAAAGGAGTGCAGGTTAACCAAAATGAATACTCATACATGTATATACAGTGATCTATGTGTTTATCTATATATGTATATACATATGAATCACAAATAAGTGTAGAAACACCGATAAAATAACGAAAATAAAGGTTATAACTTAAAATAAAATAACCATTCACCAACTAGTGAGTGAAAAGTAGAATAACAGTGTTATATGTGTAAATATTTGTAACTTAAGAGGCCAGCGTCTGGAAGTGAGCGTAAACTGAGCTGACTGGCATACCTATCATCAGCATCTTTACCTTCTGTAGAACTTCAGTGGGACTGAATATGCGTATATATATATATATATATATATTCGCCTACTCCTTAAACGTCCCTTTATTCCCTCCCAGTCCTTCTAGGGGGGGTTGGCAGAACTTTACAGATGTTTGGGTAAACAGGTGTTAACTTATTGGTATTGTACGTATTCTCAATTGATCACATAACTAAAGCTTACGTTATCAATCACCCCTACTCTTGCTCTCTTATCTCGATTGCTCGATTGTGTGTTATTGCATGTAGTGAGTGCTATAGCTGAACTATTTTCTACATTCCTCATCTTATTAGAGTCAACTAAGCTGGATTTTGCTAAGCTTTTTGAACTCCACTAACTTAATTTACCCAATTCTACTACTTTAACCGTATTTATTTGGGTTCTACAGGATCAGCTGAATCAACATAGATATGATGGAGAAGATTTACAGCTCAGGTGGAAGATTTTGATGTAGTTGTGTTTTCTGAGCTGGCTGGCTGGTTTATTTGTGAAGCTTTCATTGTCCCCCCCTCCACCTACTAGGCAACGCCTCCAGCGCATACAAACTTCAATTGGGATTGAAGTGAGCTTTCAGATATCTCCACGAGTTCACTATTAGTCATCCCTCCAGGTGGGTGACCTTGAACGCCATGATTGGTTGATTTTGTGTGTTTCCACACCCTCTAGGCTACTTGTATTGGTATGGATTGTTTCCTTGATCTGAATTTCGATCCTTTGTGTGTGTGAGATTTCCTTCTTATCGATTGGTAAATTTTATCTATCTCGATGTATCTATTGATCGACGATTCACTGGAATACCGGGCAGCCTTCTAAAAACTCTCTAGCATACTTGGTGTTTCCTCTGTCTAATATGTGAACGTTGGTTGTCCTAGTCGAATTGATGTCCGTGGTTGTCTGTATGCAGTTAGGCAATATGAGTGAGGGAGTGGATGTCATGTCTTTTGATGACTTGTTTATGATCATGGATACGAAGACGAAGGGGACGTCGTCCACTAGACAGTGCGAAAACACGCAAAAACAACCAATCACGAGGTTAAAGGTCACCCACCAGGAGAGATGACTAATAGTGAACTCGTGGAGAAATCTAAAAGCTCACTTCAATTCAAATTGAAGTTTGTATGCGCTGAAGATATTGCCTAGTAGGGGGGAAGTGCGAAGAAAGCTTCACAAATAAACCACCACCTAGCTCAGAGAACACAATTACATCGAAATCAATCGATGTCATTTGTTTCTAAGTGAGTTTGTTGATAACTGAATGGATTCTACTATGATTAATCCTGGATTTTTAAGAATTCTACGTAAGGTGGTTTCAGAGGTTCCTTCTTTGTATAGAAGTACTACTGACGATTTAAATCCTCTTATGTTGGTGTTGTTATCTTTCTGAGTATGTTTTTCATGTGGGACGTCCTTATTAATTATTAATTTTAGTTTTAAACTCCTCTACATACTTCCTGATTAATTTATCAGGGTAATCATTAATTAAGCTTCAAAGCTTCTCCTATACGTCTCACTTCTTGTCTTAGATTTTCCTTGGTACTACTTAGTTTTTGTGCCTTATTACGTAAACATTTCCCCAATCGTATTTTTAGTGCCATAGAATAGGTTGAACCGAAGTTCAAATATCTCTCTGAGGATGTGTTGGCAGAAATTCACCTCCATGAATTTCCATTTCATAAGCAAATTGAATTATCCTTACTTTTTAGCTCATATATTCAGAAAATCTATTTATACTTTGTGTTTTTAGCCCTGTGAATGTGTCATCTACATACTTCTAGCATACTTTAGGGGTGGAGCTAAGTTTTTCCATCTATCCATAAATATATTTACTATCTATAGGGGTATTGGTAACCCCATGGCAACATCTTCAAATTTAAACATTGTAGAAGTTAGGCATGGCTACACTCTTAGCATGATGTCTTTTAGTGACACTTTAGTTCATTCCTGACCATGTTCCCAAGCCAAAACCAATCGTTTCTTCTTCCTCACTATCTAATTTTAACCGATTTTCAATTCCTTCCGACTGAAGTTGCACTGAACAAGATAACTAGCTTGACAACGAAACCTCCTTCATTAGTTTACAATTTTCCTCTAGACAACTAGCACTAGTATTAACTTATCATTCTGGTTACTATCCTTTTGATAGAAACGTTAAAGTTATTGATCTTCACTTTTATTTAGAAGTGTACGTCTTATTTTCTGTCGAATACTAGTTAGATAGTTAGATTGTGAAGTTAATTAGATAACTTATATACATATAAGACTGTTAGATCGATTCATGCAGCTGACCTTGACTTTCAGCCAATCATATAACTTAAACAAATCTTACCAATACTCGCGCGAGCTGATTGGTTGTTAGAAGAGATCTAATCGATAAGGTAAATCAGAATATTTTATGAGTCAACAAGAAAAAAACAAAAACAAAATTTAAGTTACCTGATGGTGAATGTGTATTGTCTCTTCTCCGATTGATCAGATTCTGTCTACTGGGTTCTTTAGATCTATGCGGTGTAGGTTTATCTCTGTGCTTGACATCTTTACCACAATGTAGGTGATCTTCGTCTTTTAAATCTGACTGAGGCTTTGTAGATGATAATTTTGGCTGTTTAAAATCTTCTCTTGACTGGTGTCTTCGTTTACTAGGCGGAGAGGGTTTTGACTCATTACGGAGATCAGTAGTCGGTTGGTCTGTATGTGGTTTATTCAACGTATCAGTTGGTTGTTTGTTGTCGGATATTTTCCGATCAACTGGCTGTTTAGTCTCTTGCCTACTGTTCTGATCTTGATCTGGTTTGTTAGAAGGTGGTCTATGACGATCGCCTTTATCACTTTCACGCCTTTTCGGTTGATCAATAGCTTGGAGACTGATTGGATCTTTAGGCACGTCAGTATTTCGATCTGGTTTCGGCGTCATGATTTCTTTCTTCTCCCTCTTTTCTGGTGATTGATCTTGATCAGCGTGTTTAGATCTGTTCTTCGCCTCATTCCCCTTGACTGTTCCACTACCAGAGAATTGTTTGTCGTCCGCTGAATATCGTCTTTCTTCGTTTAAAGATTGATGTCTTGTTAAACTTGGTCTGTGTCGTTCAAGTTCAGGAGATGGATCAATTTCGCCAGCACCACTACCACCACCTTCTTCTTCTGCTAATAATAATCGTCTTGTCTGTTGTTTACTATTTTCTATCCAAGATGAAATACGATCATCTTTTGGAGTGAATCCTGGATACGGTTTATACTGTTTCACGCGTAGAGAATGGTGACGATGGTGTTGGTGAGGACTTTTGCTACTTCTGGCTGGTTCAGGGACACGATTTCTTTCTTTACTCTGTTTATCCTTTAACATCATGTCACGATCTTGTAAACTGTTTAAGCCTTTTATATCACCAAATTGTGATTTCTCTTTTGAACTCTTGCGTTGTCTATCGTCAGTTTCCTTAATTCCAGGCAGCGACTTACGTTTCTCTGTTGGTGGTAGGTTTCCACCAGTTTGACCTTCAGTCACGGTATGTATTGGTTTCCTAAATTTTGAATCTCTTGAAAATGTTTTCGTCTCTTCATGGGGTGCAGGACGACTGTCGGGTTTTGGTCGATCAGATAAGGTCATATCTTTCTTGAATTTAGAAAATGGAGTGGGACCATCATTGACACGCTTATCTAAATGCTTCGATTCGTTACCATCATCATCATCATGTTTTGTAGAAGTTCGATGATGTTGTGGAGGTGGTGGCGGATATCGATGTTGATGTTTAGATTCTGGTTCTTGTGATTTTGCCTTCTCGCCAATGAATCGATCCACTCTAGGCTTAGTATTATTATTATTACTGGCGTTTGTGTCGCCTTCATTCGTGTTGCTTTGATCTGAAGGCTTCGATTTCTTATCCAATGATTTACTCATCCGATCAGGTTTTTCTAAGACTTTTGGAGTATGCGGAACTGGTGTCGGCTTGTTAAAAGGCTCTGGTGAATCAATTGACGCTTGATGTTTGCCTTTATCATCTGCAGTTCTCGAATGTTTTTTCGGTAAATCTGTGGTAGTGGTTTTTGGTGTCTCAGGCTGTTGTTTATTCCCTCCAGAGGTTATATCAGGTAGATAACGATACGAAGGTGGATCTTTATGTTTAATTCTACTTGTGTCATCACGAGGTTTACTTGCTTCGTCTGTTGGTTTCATAGGTTCAACGGGTCTAGGCTGGTTAGCTTCTTTATCATCTGGTTGACTTTTACGATTTTTCATTGAATTCGATTTTCTTTCAGTGTCTTTAAAAGTATTGATCTTCACTTGATCTTCATACTTCTTGACTAACACACCTAAACTTGATGTACTGCCATAATTGTCTTTCTTGATGGAATGTTGTCGTTTTTTCATCCGGTTCATTTCATCTTGGTAGGCTTGATTTAAAATATCATCAATGTTAGCCTTTTCTTTGTTGTCTTTCTTCTCTTCTTCCTCCTCCTCATCTTTTTGGGAGATTTTTTTAACCTCTTTAGTAGAATAGTCGTCTTGTTTCCGATTGTCAGTGTAACGTTTATATGGTTCTAAAAAGTAAAAGCTTAAACTATCCGCTGACGGGGATTTTAAAGATTTCCTTGAATCTTCTGCAACTTTTCGTGGTAATTTTAAATCCTTCTTCTCCTGCTCCTTCTCTTCCTCTGCTTTTTCATCATTAGACCCAACATCTTTAGACAGATTATCACTAAATTCAGACTGTTCACTTATTCTATCTCCACGAGGCGCTGAATCATCGTTCAGCAAAAGATGATGGCTTCTTGGTAGACTCCAGTGTTTCTCTGAACGTTCAACATATCGATTTAAGTAAATCTTCAAACTATCTCCACCACCGACATCGCCTTCACGACTTAAAACAGAGCTGATATCAGTCGATGACTGATAATATTGATAGTAGTCATTTGATAAACTCTGATTGATATCCGATAGAATTTTATTATTATTATTGCGATTATGTATAGTATAATTTATCTCTGAGGAAGCTTTAGTCTTCTCATATTTTCTTAAAAATTTCTCTTTTCGATCAATTGACGGTTGATCGTCTTCTGATCCCGATAGGGATCATTATTATTATTATTTTGTGACACAAAAGTGATCAGGTGTGCGAATTGATGTGTGGAAAGGTAGACCAAAAAATCAACCGAGAGGAAAAAAAAGAGGAGAAGAAGACATGAACATAAGACTGGACAACATCAATTCATATCAAGGTCATTGGTAAAATAAAAATCAATAAATTAAATTTATTAACACATTTAAACAAACTACGAAAAGCAACCACACTACACCAAACTGTTTGGAACATAAAAAATCTCAAAACAAATACAACAAGAACAGAAAATATGTGTGTGTGTGTGTGTGAGGGATACGAAGTGGGACACAAACAACTGTGTGGACACAGTCGAAAATGTTGACAACAATAAAGACATTGATGTGATTGATCATTGAATCGGCTTACTTTCAGGGACTAGAAAGCGAAAATTTATTTATTTAAAGCCTTGGAGTAAATTTCATTGGAGTGAAAATGGGAATGAAAATGTGGTTGGTAAAGAAAGATTTCGTTACCAATCGATTAATAAATGTTTCGTCATGGTTTGGGATTCTTCGGCAGTAATTACCTATGATACCTACTTTCAAGGATTTAGTCCAGGATGTTTAGGTTAATAAGACAAGAGTTTGGCGTTCAGACCCTTAGGTTGCAACCCAAGATCGATGAATCTCACCTTTCATTAATTCCATTATTTGCCTTTCAGTAACAACCGCTTAAGCTGGGGAATTTCTGGGGAACCAGACGATACTGGATAACTATTCTATTTCAGCTTTGTACTCGTCAGAAATGAACACCTACCTACTACAGTAAATAGAAGTGACTGTGTTGAAGATCTTCAGACTATAAATAGACTATCTGTTAATTTGGGCACTGAGTGATTTTCTACACCATTTGATGACACCAATCAGCTTACTCTTTTCATGATATTTTAGTTTATTTCTTTACACTACTTTATTCATTTAAAGTAGTCAGAAAAATAATTTTAATTTTCATGCCATTCAGTTATTCTTTGCAATGACAGAAGTATCATTACTTCATATAAATTAACCATAAATTTTCCTTACATATGCATAATACCTTACTCATATTTCTGTATATTGTGTTTGTCACAAGTATGGGAATTGAGGTTTATTGATTATATTGGTAGTACTGTAGGATTGACTGTGGAAACCATTATTGAAAATCAGATGACTATGTGGATATTTACACTTATGATGATTTTCAGCTAAGAGATTTCTATTTTTAAGGTAAACAAGTAACCTTTGCCTTATCATTGTTGTCTGATCTTTAGGACTGATCGAAGTGTATCAGTCAAGCTGGCAATGAGTCCGTTGAAATGGGAGATTCTCCATCGTGGTACACTCTGAATAGATGGAGGTAGTAGGCAAGAGTTCCCGTGCTTATTAGCAGTCTTTAACATCATTTATTTGCAACCTCAAAGAAACGGGTATCTCTTCAGAGGACTGAAAGTGTATTAGCGTTTTTTAAATCTTTTTAGATGTCACAGCCTGCTAACACCACTTAGCTACGTCGATTTCCATCCACCGTAACATAGCTTTTACTTTTCTCTGTTTCTCGTTCTTGTTTTATTCTTCCAATCATGCCAATCGATGAATCCTAGCTTTTATCAATTTTCAGTTTTTAGTACCAGCCCGTTGTCATCATTATTTTTCGACTGGACAGGAAAACAATATTTCGTATAAGCTTTTGCGTTACTTAAAAAATAAATAAGTAGCACAATTTTGTTTAAAGAATTCTCCGGCATAAAATATGAAGTACATGAAACTAACAAAAAATAAATATTTGTTAAACCTACTTCTAAAGTATGAATTTGGATATCTTGCCTTTCTATAATGCGGGGGATCAGTGCCTGTAATAGAAGAATTGAGGAATTGAATTCTAGAGAAAAAAACCTTGGTGTAATAAGGGGATCTGTGGGGATAAATGTATTATTATTAGATAATGATTTGATAAATAGTCCATGTTTTTGTGCAGAAAGCATCAGTTAGCTATGATAATCAGTTAAGAGGTGTACCGAAAAATGGCGAAATAAAGCAGCTGTGCAAAACTTACACACTACACACACGGGGAGGGGATATACATTCACACCACGTTAAAAAAATACACACAGCAACCTGAGAAAAAAGGGGATAAGGTGTGTTATGATGTTGGGGATTGGGAGCTAGGCAAATAGAACACACCAGTGTTATTGTTATCTCAAATATCACCAATAAAAATGAAATTATCAGGGTAAGGTTAATCATCAGGGTTGATTTTGTTGGGAATTGTAAAGTTAGTTGATGCTTCCTTTTTATTTTCTGGTCGAAACAGAAGTCATACTAGCTGAATAGTATTAGCAGATAATTATTCGTAGGATTTCTAAGGATGGGATTTGTATATTTTGTGCACTTTAAGGCGGTAATTGGTATTCGTGTTTTTGGAAAAAGGATAAATAGGTTTTACGATAGTTTTTGGTGTTCTGTCTGAAGACTATAGCTCGGTCTCAGGTTGACATATTGGCTCCTTGTACAGATACTTAAAGTCAGTTGGTGGGTAGCGATTAGCAGTGGAATCCAGGATGCGTCAGCTGGATGTTCCCGGATTCCCTAGTGAGGGACCTGAGACTAAGCACTTCGGTCCAATCAATCCATGGGAAAGTCTAAAAAATATTGAATTAAATAATTAATAAGATTCGTTGAACAAGAGGTGGTTCTCGTGGCCCAAGTGGTCTAGTGGATAACGCCTTTGCTGGCGTTTGAAACTATGGGCACTGGGTTCGAGCCTCGGCGGGAACACCATCACTGACTCACTGGGGAATGCAGGTACATCCAACTGGTGGACGAGTCCCAAATAGGACTAAGTGTTCGTTATCTTGGATTCCACTGCTTGTTTAGGTTTTGTCGACATTCTGGGGTTGATTTTCTTAGATTAACAAAACAATTGTCATCAGGTAAATCTTAAATCATCGTTTCAAGTATAGGCGGTACAAACGAAAGATGTCAAAGTCAGGTAGGATGAAAAAATAAATCAAGACACACCTTCACTAATCTAAAATCAATGTGAAAACCTGCTGCAATCAGCAGAAAAAATGCCCAAGATACGAGTACTATCAGAAAATTCTCATTTTATTGCCAATATATGGGTGACACCCTTATTCTTTGTGATAATGATTCAGATAGGAGTACAATAATTACGTAATTCAATGAAGTACACGCGGCTATGAAATTCACGTGCGAAGAGGATTCTAAAATAGAATTATTCACCTACCTAGACGTCCCTCTTACAAAATAACCAGACGGTAGTATAGAGAGAAATTCGCACAAGAAAAGCAAATGAACAAGACAATGTGCACAATTTCACAGCTTTGTTCCCCTCCAGTACAAAAGAAGTTTAATAAAAAACCCGCAGCCACAGAGTTAGAGCTATATGCTCTGAAGCGATAATTTAAGATAGACTAAGGATTGTTGTATATGACACCCTAATTGGAAATGGCTATTAAGAAAAGTTCATCATGAAACACATGACCAAAAATGGCAGAAAATGACTATTCTCCATCTGTATATATGAAACCTTTATTCGAGGTTGATGCACCAAATGAAATAATTGCCAACGTATCAATGACAATCTAGATACAACGTCCAGTATAATCTCAATGAAATCTATTGGTTAAAAATCCAAAATGGATTGATCCAGCAAATTTAACTGATTGGTTGATTTATTTTAGATATAAAAGGCGGGAAGCAATCTCATTGGTTAATTTGAGCATTTTTTCTAGAAAACAAATCCTCTAATTTGTGAGTAATGATTAGAATCAGACCAAGTCAAATCGATAAAAAACTTGCAAAACAGTGAAAGTATATTTTTTCCAAAAGTGAGGAATATTAATTCATCCGCAAATATCTTAATCATATCTCTATAGCATATATATACTTTAGATTGATAAAGCCAAACATATGCCAAACATCTTTAATTCAATGTGCATTTGCGATTGCCACAAAAACACTCGGCGCTTAGCGAATGCAAGCACACTTCATACAGCTTAGAGCAAAAGCGGTGAAAACTATATACGTGTGTGTGTGTGTGTGTGTACAAACGCGGTTTTGGCTTAACAATCTTAAGCAATCGATAAACTGCTTGACAGCACAACACTACAAACAAATCACGCTTACTACCATGTTTTATCGAGGCTGATGGATGATAATTCGTTTGACTTTTATCTGACACTGGTGAATCTAACATTAATCCTGGTGAACCTGGTTGAGGATAATAAAGCAGGGCATGTCTGGTACGCGGTAGTGAGGTATACATCCGCTGTCTTGGTGTCTTTCGTCTGTTGACAGGATAATTAGTAGGGGTAGTATTTGTATCATACCTGATGTCATCTTCTCTGTCCGATGTACTGTGTGAATCATTCACACGAATAATCATTTCAAATTTATCATAATATCCCAGTGGGGTCCTTCTAGTTGTTGTGGATGGTGTTGACGGAGAGTGTGGATGAAGTTTTACTTCAGTACGCGAAGTATGCTTTGGAAAAGTTTGTGATTTTTGAGCTGGTGGTATATTAAAGTAATAGGTAGGTTTACGACAGACAAATAATTCGTGTTTGGTGTATCTTTCGGAGTTCTTTCTCGTCTCACTAATATGATTAATATTATTACTAATAGTGCTATCATGACAGGAGTCAAGATTCTTTATTGTCACCGGTAGACGAGATAAAGTCGATTGATATATGTAGGTTTGTTTCGAAGACTCTTCGCTATCATCTTTATCGATTAGCAATGACATTGATGTTTGAAAATTGTTCAATTCTTTGGTAATGTTTTCATCTGATGCTCTTCTGTTGGTGATATATTCTTCAACATAATAATGTTCTAAACTTCGACTTCTAAATTTTGTCATATTAGAGATTGGATGAATTTCTATCGGAATAAGAAAGTAGACATTTTTACACACAAAAAAAATTCAATCAGCGATCGATTAAATACTTACTTAAAGGTATTAATATCATGAGTACAATAGTCTTTGGGGTTGGTGCAGGTTGAATTCTACCATCAGTCAAGTTTGCAATGTGGCTACCAAGCCACTAGGTGGCTCGCCATCGCTGTGCACTTTGAACTGTGGATATTAGATGGTTGGAAGCAATCCACAAGAAGCCCTCTGTAACCTAGATTTCCTTCTCGTTGGCACTTACCCGTCAGAAAAACATATCCGCGGTCTTTAAGGAACTCATTGGATACAATGTTAGAGGAGGCCAACTGCTAGCCCGAATAGCTCGGCGGTGGTAACGTCTCTCCCTGACTGCATCACTGGGTGACGCGACATCAATTCCTTCAAGACTGAAGATACGTCTTGCTGATAGGTGAGTGCCGACAAGCACCAAACCTAGATGAGACAGACGTCTCAGACGATCGTCTTCAACCATCCATCTAATTACTCAAAGGAAGGCTACAACTCTCTGAGGAGGGGGGGTTAGCATATATCTATGTGTTTGTTTGTATGTATCTGTGAAGTTGATACATACTATAAAAAACGAAGTTTATATTAATGTGCAAAACTTGACCACTGTGGTAGTAAGTAATTCTATATTAGTTTGTTTATTAGATGGATATATCACACACTGAGTGAAACAGTATTATTTACTGGATGACGTTTCGAACAAACATTATTGTGGCTCATAATCATATCAATTATAATCACACGACTTTGAAACTGGAGTTTTATAGTTCCCTCTGTCCTCTCCTATTTGTCGTTGGGATAGTAGAATTTTCCAGATATCTGGGATAGGTGTTGAATCATTCCTATTACGCGTATTTGCAATTGATTCGATAAACAAAGCTTCTGTTATCAATCCCTCCCTCCACCCTGGTGTGACATTAGATTTTAAAACTGTCATCTTATCCCATCCCAGCCTATAGTATGGTCGTGTGTAATTGCATGTAGTGTTATGGCTGAACTGTTCTCTAGATTTCTTATCTTATTCGGGTCAACTAATCTAGATTTCGCTGCCACATTTTTATGCTCGGCTAGTCTGATTGCCCTTGTTCTACTACTCTGACCTATGTATTTGACCTGACAATCATTACAGCAGGGTATTAAATAAACTAAATTGTTTTGTTTTAACGGCTCCAAAGGATCCTTCAACCGACAAAGCTTGTTTCTAATTGAGTTTAAGGGGTTTGAATGCCACCTTTTTTCCTGTCTTGTTAAGAATTCCCCGTAAGGTGTCTGAGGTTCCTTCCTTGTATGGAATTATTACTGATGATTTAGATTTCTTATTTTTGTTGCTGTCTTGCGCACATTTGACATGCATGTCGTCATTATTATTATTATTATTATCACTATCACTCTTATTATTATTACGCTTACGCCAGTAAATATGCAAGCATCTACTTTTCTAACACCTTAAAACACTCTCTTCAAATTTGGCTTTACAGACATGCTAATAAGTTGTTGCCATAATGGACTGAGATTACCCATAATCTATGTAGAATTTTATTTATTGATAATTGATAGGATCCCACATATTTTGGTATTGACTGTTTAATCTTGCATATATGGTATGTTATCATTCTCACACATTTTGGTATTGACTGCTAATTTTGTATATATGGTATATTATCATTCTCACACATTTTGGTAGTGACTGCTAATTTTGTATATATGGTATATTATCATTCTCACACATTTTGGTAGTGACTGCTAATCTTGTATATATGGTATATTATCATTCTCACACATTTTGTTACTGACTGTCAACCTCGCACATATGGTATATTATCATCTCTCACGCACTTTGTTATTGGCTATTAAGATCAATTATTTCAAATGCTGTTAGCTGTCCATATTGTTGTAAAATGTATAAATACCATGGCTTTCTTTATCGTTGTTGCACTTCAATACACAGTCACAGTCCAGCCTTTGTCTTTTGATATTTGCGTGCTTTACTAAATCGGAAGGTACGACAAGCAGATAGGCAGATTAGTTCAGGCGCAGACAGAATAAGGTGAAAACGTCTTCATTCAATTCCCTACAGTTATAACAAATTGGCGACGGGGATTTACTTTAATTCATTACAGTTATAACAATAATGTACTAACTGGATGCAATACTGTATGTAGTAAAAACGCTGAGAATTCTATTCTGTATTCACAAATACTGTTTTGGAATAAAGCTTATTATTATCATCATTTTATTTTTACATTTCCCTACATATTTCCTGACTAATTTATCAGGGTAATTATTAAGTTTCAAGGTTTCTCTTATATGTGTCACTCACTACTACCTATCTTAGAGTTTCCTTGATACTACTTAGCTTTTGTACTCTGCCGTTACTTAAGCATTTCACGGACAAATCGGTTCACAAGGTGTTGTGTAATATCAAGAGTCTGTTTATAGGAGTTTGATCTGTTTCAAGTTTGATCGCTTATTGATATCAGTTAGCAAAATCACTGGAAATCACCAGAGAGTACTAGAAAGCTGTTTCATCCGCATTTGGGACTCACCATCAGCAGGCACTCGTTGCATTTTTGGAATCCAGGAGCTTTCAGTTTGATATGTATCCACATATATATATTTATGTGTGTGTGTATGTTGGTCTCTCTTTCTATCTGATCGCTTAGTCTGTGACCATTTCACTTGTATGTACTTGTCTCCTTTAACAACGTATATTCTCCTTATATTATATATAATATGAGTGTTTGTTGACAGTCCGTTGCTTGGTGACATATATCCATATTATATGTGTGGTTGTTGACATGTCTGTTATATTTCGCTATGTATATATGGATCGATACTTCATTATAATTAGCCATTCATGTTAAGACTCTAATGATTTGTTCACACGCTTTTTCTGGAACATTCATATATATTCGCATACACAATTTGTGTGAACTACTTTACAACTTCACTTTACTTACTTATCACTTTGGTGTGAGACCATTTATTTTCGTCTCCTTGTGTTTGGACAATAGAAGTATCATCGCAAACCTAGTGGTCTTCTGATTTCCGCCTTCTCGCGTCAGGACTATTAGTTTCTCGACAAGACCATAACAATAATTTAGCGACGAGTACATAACACAGTTTCACTGGTTCTCTAACTGATCTCAGTGTGTGATCAAACTTGAAAACAGATCAAATCCCTAAATAAAAACTCTTGAAAATTACTCTGATGCTCGCTAATGACTGGCCACATGACGAAGTTGCCTGGAGTTGTAGTGAGAAGTTGTGGCAAGTGGGGTTCACCCGATCAATAAATGAGGAGGATTGTTTACCAATGACGCTGGGTGTTGTGCATTTTGTATGCTAGATATCATTTAACGGAAAGACTCAGTTTTAATGCATGTTGTGGTATTCGTCAGTATGAATTACCGACGGTTTTGAAGATTCCGGGAAAGATGGAAGCAAAGAGATTGAAACTGTACGTCGGTGGATGAGCAGTAGCATACTCTCCAGTCACGCCGAAACGGTTTGGGGGCAATTCTCGGTCATTGTCTCCCTGCTAAATCTCGCCTAGCTGGTAGTAAGGCAAATTAAAGAGGGAAAGTGGGGTATGTATGGCAGAGAGAGCTCCACCCCGTGGAAGAAGACACCACTCCATCTGCTGAAACATCTGTTTTATTCAACCTCTTCTTCTTACTATTATTTCTGATTCATTGAAAACTATCTTTTATCATTACCATTATCTTAACTCGTATTATTATTATTACTGTTATTAGGGTGACTATTATTATCAGTATTATTTATTTTGAAATTCCTGATGTTTCCAAGTTCTCTTACTCACTGATAATTAACTAACTGTCCAGTTAAGCGATGCAATTGAACCGTAATGCATTTTATTCAACTGAGAAAGAGTAGTTCTGTGGTGAAAGCTGTCTGCAAGTCAAAACTGTAGACAACAATCGACATCACTCTTTACGTCCCAGATCAGGGTCATGAGAAAAAACGATAACAAAGCTTAACCTTAAGGAACTCATCAACAACCAATCACAGAAGAATTAACGTGTGCAAATACGATTCGAAGATATATGGCTTAACTTTCTAAGAAACAGTCACAGACAGTACAGAATAACCTTCAGCAAGAAAACAACCAATCAGAAGACGCTGCTTCTCCACTGACAATAGGGTTAATAATAATGTACATAAAAGTTTATAAATATCTGTTGATTTGATTGCATGGAGGATTTCACCATGAGCTGACATCAGTTAGAGAACCACTGGGAAACCTGGGAGTACTGGACAGCTGGCTGTTTAATGCTAGTTTGGGACTCTTCAACAGTACGCACCCACCGGGGTTCGAACCTAGGACCTTCTGGTTACAAAGCGAGCTAGCTCGTAGACCATTGAGCCACTGGGACCCGATTCAATGGTCCTTGAATTCTAACTTCTGCCAATTCACGATATAGCGCGACCATTTCGCAACGTCTTTATCGATCAGTTACTGCCTCATCTTCCACGTGCTGTACCCTACTGGTCCCAGCTTCCCACTAGAACCCCAGGTTAACTGGCTGGATAGGGCCAGTCACTAGTGAGCATCAGATTAATTTTCAAGTATTGGTTTTTTTGTGGGGATTTTGTGTTTGATTGCATGGAGAATTTCACCATGAGCTGACATCAGTTAAAGAACCACTGGGAAACTTGGGAGTACTGGACAGCTGTACTGCTGAAGAGTCCCAAACTGGGAGGAAACAGCTGTCTAGTACTCCCAGGTTTCTCCAGTGGTTCTCTAACTGATGTCAGCTCATGGTGAAATCCTCCATACAATCAAACACAAAATCCCTACGAAACCAATACTTGAAAATCTGTTGGTTTTCTCAATAAATGATCTGTAGACTGGCTCTTGTGTTCTGTCGTTACGGTTCTATCAAAATTTGGTGAATCCATCAAAATCCTGCTTTATTAACTTTGATTCATTATTTTAAAT